CATTTGGCTCCTATCATCTGGGAGTCCACTCAAAAGGTAAGTGCATGTCAGGACTGTGGCAGCTTGTATTCACAGTAGCTCATGACTTAACTAATGTGGTTCATAATATCTGATCAATCTTTAGTCATTCACAGTAAGTCTGTACAGGGTGAAGATCGTGGTTCAGAGCATAACTACACATTGAAATGTAGATTTCCCTTTCATATGAATATGTTCTGCTTTGACAGGTGCTGACATTGATGCCCTTTGTGTCGGACCTGGATTTATAGAAAGGAAAGACTTCTTCACCTCCTTCTTTGAGAAGCTGAAAGCTCAGAAGGAGGTCAAAGATCTTCGGGTTAGCCATATAAGTGGTTCATTATGTATCATTCTATATTCATCATACAAGTCTGAAGACATTTTTCTCCCTAGTGCAAGTGACTGACCGTACTGTTTGTCTTTAGGCCATTGAAGAGGCTTTCGTCCCAGTCATCAAGATGTCCTTTGATGGGATTGAGGTAATAAGAGAAAACAGTATCGACTCTACTGTCTGCAGTTAATGTTTTGTTTGCATGTGCCTCAATCATGTTTCTTGTTGTCCTGTTCTTTTCTAGATTGACTTAGTCTTTGCGAAGTTGGCACAGAGGAGTGTTCCTGATAATATTGATCTTCTCAATGAAAATTTGTTGACGAACATAGATAAATTCTGCATCAGGAGCCTCAATGGTAAGCATCAGATTAAAGAACACAACTGCAGTATTAGTACCTGACAGGTGTTTTTTGTGATGTATAACTGTACTATTTTGTCTATTTGCTGTGACTTTAAATATGAATCTTTTACTTATTCTGTTTTTTACAGGCTACAGAGTCACTGAGGAGATCCTCCGTCTTGTGCCAAATATTTACAACTTCAGGCTGGCTTTGAGAGCCATCAAGATGTGGGCCAAACGTGAGTGGAACACATATAACCAGTTGAGCTTGCCCATCACTAGAGACTGTGAACAGGCTTTAAATGTAAAACATGTGCACTATATGATGCTCTTTAAAACTCCCACAGGGAATTAAACATTAGCGTCCAGAGCATGTATGTTACTTTTTGCTAGAAATCACATAACACAGTACTTTTAATAGGCGTAAATTAGAGTTTAGGGAACACTACAACTGTCAGAAGTTGTATCTCAATTTAATATTCACCATGGAGTTAAGTATTGTGTCTTTATTATGTAGGGAGTAGTGGAAGAGTGGGATTTCAGACACAGCTGTTGTTCTTTTTTCTTTACATTGATATATTATAACACTTAATTAAAACTCAATTCACAGTGGGCTAAAGCAAGTTAGAGCAGGCCATTGATAACATTAGGTAACTGTGTGAACTTGAGACCTTAATCGTTTTTCTAATCCTCTCATTTCTCATTATTTACTACAGGGCGTAACATTTACTCCAATATGCTGGGCTTCTTGGGCGGTGTGTCATGGGCCATACTGGTAGCCGAAACTGTCAGGTGTACCCGAATGCGACAGCGTCCACCCTGGTGATAAAGTTCTTCAAGGTCTACTCCATGTGGTGAGTTGTCTCATTTCTGATGTCCCTGAATTGGGTTTACTTAAACATCACTGAGAGCCACTGTAGTCAGAGTCATTGAATTGGGTAAACAGACTGCCCATTTGAGCTTACTCTCGATGTAGAGACGACATATTTACTAAACAGTATGCACTGAGAACTGAGATGTTTTAATAATATTCCATTCTGAAAATGCTGCTGCATGTGATTTTTTTCTAAAAGCTGCAAATGAGGATCAGTTGATCTGAAAATCTTGTGTTTTGTGTCAGGGAGTGGCCAATCCCAATCCGCTTGAGGAGAGTTGATGACCTCCACCTCAACCTTCCGTTTTGGGATCCCAGGGTAAGGCCTCGGCAGGATTTTTATTAGGATTTGAGGCTACAAATATAGAATCATGTTAGTCAAGCACAGGTAAGCTGAAAATGTTGTGTTCTTCTGTATTTCCAGTTTAATCTAAGTGACCGCTACCACCTGATGCCCATCATCACCCCATCATACCCACAGCAGAACACGAGCTTCAACGTGTCTCCCTCCACCATAGCCGTCATAACGGAGGAGATTGAACGCGGTATGTAGTCACTCAGCTGATAACCACCAAATGCTCACAGTGCTACCGGCATCGTGGGTCAATTAACTTAACTAACAAAGTTGATTTAACGCAAGCTCAGAACCTGGTTGCTCTAATGTGAAATCAGTCAGTCAGAAACACAATTTATCCAAACTATGTTGAACTCCTAACTTCAGGAATACCACAAGGATTCCATTCTGTTAATAAAGTTGGGATTTTTTTTTACTCAGACTTGAACAATCTTTCCCTTCCTCATTCACAGGCCATGCCATCACTGAAGAAATTCAGCAGAAAAAAGTGGACTGGTCAAAATTGTTTGAAACACCAGACTTTGTTGAGAAGTACAAGTATGTATTACACTGCTCAAAGATGAAAATGTGGATTGCCATATACAAAATATACACGTTTATTATTTTAAACCTATACCTCTGTTTTCCTGATAAAAGTGTAAAACTTCTGCCATAATGCCTTAACCTGTTAAGGACCCAATTATATGTGTTTGAATATATATATATATATATATAATGCCAGATACCACCTAATTGTAAAAATGACAATAAATAGCAATAGAAATACCTGTTTCAACAAAAAGATGAGTTGATTTTTTCATGAATGTTTAACTATATCAATGAATAAAGTCATGCTAATATCATTGCATATATATTTGGTATTATTTTAAAAAATTAAAAATGTCATTATCTCCAGAAAACCAAAATAAAAACGGCCTTTTTTATTTCATTGTGCCTCAGAAGAAGGCAGAGCTTTACATTTGATGTTTTTTTTATTTTCATGATGAACATAAGTGTGTAGTAAACCGTATGAAAATTCTCTGATTCCTGTACTCCCGTGCCATAATTTATTAGTTAAGTTTGTCCATTTTGTCCTATTTATGTACTGTGCTGGTGTCTTACTCTGAATTATGCACACTTGAATTTATGTGTTTTTACACATACACATTGTGCTTTATAGTGTGTGAATTAATATTTAAGTTTATTTTGTCATTTTTGCTTGACGTAAGCTACTTAAAGCAGACTCTTTGCACATAATGTAACTGATGTTTTGTTGTGTAAATGACCATGTTTTGTACCAAACATGAATTCTCGATGCCTATTGTGTAATTTATGTGTTCTTTCTATTTGTTGTTATTATTATTGCTGCTGTTATTATTTTATTGTGTGACTGACAAAATTTGCACTTGTTTATAATTGTTGAATGCCAGTTTTTGGTGCACACTGGGTTTTGTTCTTTGCTATTATTAACTGGAAATGTAACTGAAGGTTTGTTCAAATGATTTATGAAGTAGAGCACCATCTGTTTGTTGAACCTTTAGACCCTCAACAGGAAGTATTGGACTTAAATTTGTACCTAAATGTACAATCAGCTGAATGCTGATTGTTTTATGTATGCGTAGAGCAGGTTTTGCTGTTTGAAATTAATTCAAAATATGGACTGAAGCTTGTAATTCAAGAATTTGAATGTTGGAGGTTTTTAAGTGTTTTTTTTTTTAAGCTGTCCATATGTGCTGCTTAAATGTCTTGTTTTGTGGAGCAGTTTGAATAAATCTGTAATGTGTTCTGATCTCTCTGTTTTATTTTGCCCAATTTATACTGAAAATCTGCTTTTATTACACAACTATTTAACAAGGTCAGAACAGGCAGTATTCTTGATATGATGATGATGAGTTATCAGCTTGAGGAAGAAGTGCTCGAGATAGTGAGCAGTTGTGCGCAGCGTCTGTTGTGCTTTTAACGGTGTTGTTGAGATTTAACATGAAATACAATAAATACAGATTCATTAAAGGAGCCACATTTAAAACAGTCAACATCTTTAAAAAAAGATTGGCTATATTTAAATTAAAATTAAATATTGATCAGAAATGACAACTACGACTATTGGTACAACAGAAATATAGTTAATAAAGTACGATTCCAGCCTGTAAACAAAGGAACAATGCTGTGATATTGTTTTGTCTCTTATGTTTCAAGGCATTACATTCTGCTGAAAGCATCTTCAGCTAACACACAGCAGCATCTTGAATGGTGAGTACACAGAGCAAAGAGAAGTAAAACCAGAACAAAAGTAAACATTGTAGACAATCCTATATTGTCGGGTGAGAACACTTGTTATGATGGCTGTGGTTCTCTGTGAGAAAAGAGTTTTAATATTTTATTTCCACCTACTGTAGTGCTTCCCTCTTTCTGAAAATTGTGTTTTGCTCTCGTCGTCAGGGTTGGCCTGGTGGAATCCAAAATCAGACTCCTGGTGGGAGCTCTGGAGAGAAATGTGCACATTTCCCTGGCCCACGTGAATCAACAGTCCTTCACTGCATCCACGATGGGCAATAACGGGTAAAGACGCGTGATGTTATGGTTATATTTGAATTGTGGAAGGAAGTGAATATTGTTCATTTTTATACATTACCCTTTTCTATTCACTCATTACTATGTTTTGCTCTTATGCTATATATTTGTTATATTATATTTCAGTTTGCAGTTAAAAGTATTAAAAACTTTACTGTTTCAGAGAGGGAATGAGCACAACGTGGCTGATTGGTCTTCGATTTAATACGGAGCAGTGTAAAAACACAAAGATAGACCTGACCTCCGACCTCCAGTCCCTCAGTGACACTGGTATGTTTTTTTTCTTTTTTAAATTCACAACAAATGGCAATGTTGTGAGACATTATAAATCATACTTTTATTTTGTGCTGTTGCAGTCTACAGCCTGGCTAAGAGCTGTAAGATCTACGAGGAGGGGATGACCATATCAGCCACATATGGAAAGAGGAAAAATCTGAAGTGGGAGGCCCCTGATGGCAAACACAGAAAGATTTACAGTCCAAAACCAGAGCCCGCAGTGAGCGGCCAAATCTCTGTGATTCAGACACTTCCTGTCAGCGCAGGCCGACCAGCCACAAAAAGAAAAGGCTTGTCGGACTTTGAGATGCCAGCTAAGAGGCTCAAAGCTGACAAGGTATTTCCAAACCATTCCATGCTTTGATGATGAGAAAATGTATTAAATAGTTTCTTATGTGATTCTAATTATTCTTAAATGTTTCAGTCTTTGTGCTAAGCTAAGCTAACGCACACAGAGCACACAGAGTCAATCTTCTTACCTAACCCTTTGCAAGAAAGTTAATAAACTTATTTCCTATTCCTCTAATAGTCCTAGTACTTGAGACCGAGACCAAGCCCTTGCTAAAATTGTTACAATGAAATAACATTGGTTTTATTCTGTGTAGGAATCTGTGGCTGTGACAAACAAATCCTTGGTTCAGGTGTCTACGCCCATCCAACACGCTCCACCCGCCACAGTTCCACGGGCCACAAAACGACAACTCTCACCTCTTTCAGAAACTTCAACATCAAAGACGTTAAAAGTCAGTGAGGTACCAACTTCAGAGACTAAAGGCCCCTGCTCTGACGTGTACTCCAGTGGTGTCTCGCTCAGTCCGTCTCTCAGCGAGACCTCACAAAGCACTAAGAGACCCAGAACTCCTGAGCCTGAGACGCCAAGCAAAAAGTTCAAACATGACCTGGTATGGTAAACTATCTTCGAAGGTGTTCTGTAAAGTTGATCTACACTATTAACCCTAACCTGATCTTCATATTGTGTGACTGACCTCACTGTCTGTTCCTTCCCTCTCAGACTCCGCCCCCTGTCGAGCTCTCGGACTTGCCTCCTGGGCCCACCAAGCCTGTGACAACTGTGAAACGTGCCATCAAGTTTCAGCTTCTCAGGTACAGCACAGTCTTAAGAATAGAGACTTCTGAGTTTCCTCTAGCTGCACACACTTCTCCTCTTTCCTACATTGTCAAGTCCCACATATGACAGACATCCTCACACACAATGTTCATGCTGAGCTTCATGGAAGGCCTATTGTAAGTAGATAAGAGCTGGATGAATGCCATATCTTTTCACCACAAGAGGGCAATGAAGCCTTTCTGCTCTCCTCTTCCTCAGCTGTAGCGAGGGAATGGGTACACAGACATACTGGTCAATGCTAGAGTCTTCATAGAAAAAAAGGGATGATTGCTAATTAATTGCTGGCATTTTTCACCTCAGTGTGTTGATTTACAGCTCACATAATAGCAGTGAGCTGCTGATTAATACCTTTGTGATGCATTTGTGAGGATGAGCCATTATTTTGTGATTTAAAAAGTAGTACATTTACATGTATGAGCCTGACACCCCAATATATTCCTTCATCACTCCTTTGCACTGTATAGACATTGTGGTAAATCATGACTTTCTATTTACCATTTTACCTGCTACTCCATTAACCTGTGAGTCTTACAACCATATTCCTTTGTGTATCTCTCACAGCAAGCGTAATTGACTAGTTGATGAGGCTGAACATCATACCGTCACCTTCTCGCTCCAAGAGGAAAAACTCCATCCTCCATCACCAGCTATTCTGTTTAGTTTTCTTATATTTTTTGCTTGCTTAAGGGAACTCATATGTCCTATGACGATGTTCCCTCACAGCAGGTGTAACTGTTGGTTAATGAGCCTGGGGATTACTTTCTCACTCCCAACTAAGAAGAGAAACTCTGTCCCCCTTCACCAGCCAGCCATTTTTTTGTCTTTATTTTTTGCTTATTGTGGTTTTGTATTGCTTGTGGTGGGTTTCCTCCGGGTACTCCGGTTTCTCCCAGTAACAAAAAAGAAATGATTGTAAATAGAGTATTTAAATAAATCTGTACCACTATGAATATCCTGTTGTTGTGTGTTGCAATATTTAAACTGGTTGATTTGAGAAGGGAGAGGAGAGGATGTCATTCTCTTGAGTGAATGCATCCACCTTTTAAATGAAACTTCAACAGTATGATAGTTCAGGGGTTGGCATATTTCCAGGGTTGCCAGTGCTGGGTAATGTCAGTAATGTGATTAAGTTGTTTTGGTGCCATTCAACAAAACAAAGATACTTTCAGTGCCACTACAACATTGCATGTGACATTCAATGAATAACCAATGAATAAAAGCAACGTAAAAAGAAAACAGCTGATAGCAGCTAATCAAGGTATTGTGCTTCCCGATTGTGTCAACCCCTTCTCAGGAAGAGGTAAGAAAACATGACACGGATGTCAGTCTGTCAATATTGACCAATGTAATAGAGTCACGCCTTAAAGAAGAGAACGAGAACAAACAGAAACAAACAAGACTGTGACATGACGACGATTTGTAAAATGTGACCCCAATTCAGTAAAAGATCCTCACTGGTGTGGAAGAACTTCTCATATGACTTAAAAATCACACTTTTCAGGATGGTAAGAGGAGTGTTTATGTTTTAAGTTCACAAAATGAAAAAAAGGATGGTGATAAAAGCCTAAAATGGAGATACAGTAACAGGAAAAGTATTATTACCACAACAGTTTGACCCAGTGTGCAGATGTAAATGTTCCCTAAGTCCTCAAATTGAAAGACTGTCAGCTTGAATTATAATAATGATCAAACTGTGAAACCAGAAGTATCAAAAATGCCTTACTTGGAGGGTTGATTGGAAGTAAGGGCCAGGTGGCGTATAGCAGTGGTTCCTTGAGGAGGTTCAAAGGGGGCCCCCGTGAAAAATGGGGAATACCAGTACTTTATTTTCACTATTATTTTGCTGGCAAAAAGCCCCATGAGAGAATGTATAAGAATGACTATTTTCTTCATAGGTTTAACACCATTCACTGTTAATCTGTCACCAGAAAGGTTGAGAACCACTGGTATATCTCAATGTGGTATCCACTTCCCAGGACAAAACAATATATACATGATGTAGATGGCCTCAAATTAATTAAATGTAACATCTCTTTTTTTTTTTATTAGGTTGAAAATGAATTAAAGCATCATCCCCACCCTTTGTTAGTGGCCTGAGACATTGGGTCAGGTTAGGTGGCAGACTTCCCTTCCCTTAGTAATTTTTCCATTCCTGTTTTTTCCATGTGAGAACCACCTCAGAGAAAACCTTGACCCTTGTATTGCATCTCCTCAGCCCAGGTGAGGCACAGCGTCACTGGAAAAGGGCATTCAGTTGACGCCTGAGCGAAGGTTATTATGGGTTATTTCCAGGAGCTAGGCTTTAGGACGTCCCACGCTGAAGAGAGGGTGACGCCTAGCAAAGACTGAGAAGTAGGAGAGGAGCGCTCACACTGTTCAACATTAACACGCCACAAACACTTTCATCCAGGGAGGTCATATAAGGATTTCGGATTTTATTGTTAAATGCTGGTTGACATTGGGTGGCTCTATGAGTAGCCATGAGTCTATTTGAGTGGTGCACAACGAGGGTTCATGGTTTTTGAATGTGTTGTTGAGACTTTTTTTTTGTTATAGTTTGTAAATAAATGGATTGGTATATATAAGTTGTAACTTCTTGAAGGTTTATTATTTACACAAGAGAACAACGAAGCATGCCATCTACACTTGCAGCATGTGTGCAGAACAGACACATGGTGGTGTTAACAAATGCTAATGAAATAATTTCATTTCATCATGACAACATGCTCAGATTTTACTGTTAAAATGGAAAGGAATCCCCCAGTGATGTGTTTTTCAGAGACATTATAAAAATGATTTATTAGAAAATACATGGATAATGTAAGGTAGTAAAAAAATAATAATCAGGAATCATAAGCATAAACATAATCATAAACATAATTTCTGCAAATGTTTACTCTCTACATACATGGTCCTAGTGGAGTATTAGTGAATATGTTAATCCCTTATTAGCCAAAAAAAAGTCAAACAATTTGAGTTATAGAAATACAGCCATGACAAACTTTTCTTATACAATGTAAACTCTCCCTGGTTGCTAGAAGCGCCTAAATTCCCCATTAGATGTCGGTAGGAGTTGTTCATGTGTTATATAGACGATCTTTGTACTGGAGTTAACACCATTGGCCAATGAAACTACTCATGGGCGTAGATTTCCGGCAGGCTCAAGCGGTCACAGAGCAGAGTGGGCGTTTAATCCGTATTCTTTCCCAGCTCATACATGACTTCACGATTAACGTTACACAAGTTGGGCAACTTCAAATCGTGAAATTTCCAGTCGTAGTCCGCCGACAAAGATGACAGAAAGCTCTTCGAACAAGCTACTAAACGGAGACGCCTGTCACCGGACGTCAAACGGTAGAAAATCGAGTAAAAATGGCTTCGTGAAGAACCACTGCTTGTTTCAACAGCCACAGAAGTATCGTCGCCCCAGGGAGAAGGTAAGGCCCAGCCGTCAGCTGCTCGACAGGAGAGGGCCATAAACAAGCACTGCTACTGTGTGTAATACAATAGTTTGAATTAAAAAAATAATGTTAGCTCTTGTGTTATTCATTTCTCTTTTTTCCGTGTTTATATTGCGACTGTAAATGGTTGTTTATTTGCAGGCACACGCAAAGTAAGAGCTGCGGCTGTATGGCGGCAGTTTAAGATCACCTCACAAGGAAACTATAACATTAATGTATTAAATATAACTACTATTAAGCTACATAGCTTATGCCTAGCGTGTTATGTCCTAGCCTATCGGTTTGTCCCAATGCGACCGGCTAGCTGTTGCCAATTGCTTCCCGGTATTGAGTTTCTAATACTCAACTTCAAATCACGTGGCTTTCGTCATACTTATGGTTAACATTGTGCTTCGTAAAAATGCAGATGTAGCTTGCAACCAGCGGCGTGCGCTATGAAAGACACCCTTTTTAAACCTGTTGTTTAATGGTACATGCCACCTGATCAGGGAGGATGGTAGTGGTGACTTTCTTGTAACCTTACACCCTGTTGTTTGTGTGCTCCGGTGTGTGTGTGTGTGTGTGTGTGTGTGTGTGTGTGTGTCGTGAAGTTAGACCGGTCTCTGTTTACACAGACTCCAGTATGAAGAAGACCAGGGCCCTGTTGTGTTATCACCAGAGAAGCTGTGTGTCTGTCTCCTGGGAGAGGAGGACAGGCCTGCTTCCTCATGACACTTTAGCGGGAGAGAGGAATGTCTACAGGCTATGATGGGTGTGGTCCCTCCTAGGTTGGACTGAAAAACACTGAAAACACAGAGTGTGTGTGTGTGTTTGGGTGTAGTGGTGGAGGTTGGTATACACACCTTTTGTGTGTGTTTTTTTAGTTCTTTGGGTTGTTTTGGTTCCAGAGAAATCCCTCAGTGTGTATTCTGGGAGTAATGCACTACGTCTCTCATGTTTGACAACATCAAATTCCAGACTTGCTACAGCTCAAGGCAGCAGGGCTGGATTTCAACATACAGTGGATTTACATAATGAGGTCCAGATGCTATGGCTGTCATAACAGTTAGATCCTTTTGCATACAATGTCTCCATGTTAAGGCAGAGCTGCAGGTCAAATAACTGCTGATAATGCTATCAGGCATTTGTCTCAGTTGAAATGGGGGAATAGGCATAAGTAAACTTAAGTAAAGTATTTGGAGCCACAAGACAATTGTAGCATTTTACCATGACTTTTATAGCTGTCAGATGAACTTGGCCAGTATGTAATGGGCCCACCCAAATGATATTTTTAGCATTTACTTAAAAGGTTAGTAATAAAATGAAACAAAAAAAGTGGTATAACGTCATCCTGTTGTGATATGAGCTCTGCTGGTTCCTGATAAGGCAACTGGAATGACCTACTGTATGTTTGCAAGAGGAACCAGGATGCGTAAGAAGTGTCTCTTGGCTGTACCTCAAGTATTTCTTAAATCAGCGGCTCAATACGTTAACTGATGTCTCAGCCACAGACCAGTATTAAATGTCCTCCTGGGTCTGGCTCTGCAGGCAAAGCATGGATTTTCCCCTATTGAGCTAGCCATAATCCCTATATGGATAATATAGGAAAAATGATTAGAAGCAGGATTTTTATGAGCAGCTGGGTATAAATGGTCTCACTAACAGCTTTCAACTGGGATGGTAGTGTCAATAACAGCTCAGTAAAAATGAACCATGAATTGAATTGGCAATTAGCAAGGAGAGGACTTACTCATTTATTTACTCAGTTTTAGCCCTAATGTGAAACACACACCATGTGCAAGCTTTTCTTATTGTGTATACAATGTAATACGATCATCCCCTCTTGAGCTGCAGAGCAAGCATGTGAAAGAGCAGATTTCAATAAGATTTGTTGTTTAGATGCTCCTCTGGCGACAGTTGCTGTGCTGTCCAGCTTTAAATGAATGGCACAGGTCTTCCGCTTCCCAGTCCCTGTTTGTCCACAGGTATAAAAGATTAAGTAAATATGACATCAGTCAAACCGTGTTTAGCTGCTGTGGTAGGCGTCTCTTTGCACTTGGATGTGAATTTGTTTTTCTGCTCACTGTTTGAGACAGTTCAAAAACCATGTTTTTTTTTTTTTTTACTTTAGAGAAAAGGACCTGTTTGACGGGCTTGAAACACACACACACACACACACACACACACACACACACACACACACACACACACAGACTGCAGTGCTCTCCTGTTCCCTGGCTCAGAGGTATTTCTAGGAGAAGCATGAGAGGTCACATGAGGTATGGTTGCTAAGCTGCGGGCCAGAGGGTGTAATGAGTGACCGCCCTCATTTGTTTAATGTTGGTTTGTGTAGACAGCCAGTCCGCAGTCCAGCTTGAAATTATGCTTCTTTTTTTTTTTTAAGGGGTGGCGGCGTAGGGGTTTTTTGTGGAGCTCCTCTGATGTGTGACCACGTTTATATGGTCCCATAATCCAAGATCAAT